CATCTTATACTCCAAAAAATACGGCATACATGCCATAATTTGGTTTCAACTCAAGCCATATGTCATTATGCATCATTTTGTTCCACTAAGTCTAGCTTTTCTAAGGAATATTCTCATTTTATGATTCAGAAGAAATGCTTTAAAAAAAATCAATATTGCTATAGTTACCTAAAGCCTAATCTAGGTTTTGTACTACTTTGTTCCACTACTTTGTTCTGATGGATAATAGCTCCCCACGATGACAACTATCAATAACTCCTTTGAATTCTTGTAATCTCATCATCATGGTATCAGCAATACCATCCGGCCATCTTATCTTCTCTGGCTTTTATTTTCTACAAACTCTTTATTTTTCCATTGTGGCTCTCCAAAAGGTTTTGCTTCTGGCATTATGTGTCCCTAATATTTATATTTACCTTAATGCTTTTGTGTGTTTTCAATGAACAGTCTGTTCAGTTTTCCTTCAACCCATATTGAATGATTATTTTTCTTGTTGCTCAAGGTACTCTTAACAATGTTCTCCAGCACAAATTAAAAATGCATTTAATTTTAATTCATTCAGTCTTTCTGACGGTTTCAGTTTTCACAGCCATGTGTTACAACTGGAGAGACCATGGGTTTGACGACATATACCTTTGTTGGTACTGTGATGTCTCTGTACTTTCCTTTTGGTCTATATTTGTCATATGATTTCTTCCAAGAAGCAGACATATATTTATTTCATCACTACAATCTCCAACCTTATGGATTTTTGAGTCAAAGAAAATAAAGTCTGTTTTATTACTTTCAGTACATCTTTAACTCCCTCTTTTAATTGGATTGGTGTTAGAAGTTAACATAGCCATGGCTCTTTTAATACTAACAGTATTACTACAATAGTTAGTAATACTAACATAACAGTATGATTGGTAAGTGCTGCTTTTAATTGCATTGAAATTGATTAGAGAGGATACCATTCAAAAGCCAGTTTAAGTTGGTGACATAGAAACATCTGCAATAAATAAATAAAAAGATCTGAAGAAAGATACTAATGTGGTCAGGAAAAGTTTTATGTCCACAAATGTACACACTAACAGAAAGGAAGTCGGAGTATTATGCAATTTTGTTCTGAGGCAGAAACAGTCCTTCCTGAAATTGTTCCTTGCGAAGTGTTTGAGCTATAATCTACAAGCATAATGGCTAAATGTCATGCATGGGTGGGAATTAAGGGTATTAAAGATATTGAAGTGCGCTCAATTCTGGAAGGATGATCCATATTGGACTGTTGCCACTAGTGGGGGATGAAAGTTTATTTAGAACTTGGTTTTGGGGGTTTACACTTCTGTAAGCCATTCAGAATCACCATGAGTTAATTTTGGCTGGCCAAACAAATTTTCTTAATAAATAAACAAAAATAAATATACAATATACAATAATATACAATTTTCTTCTCAGGTATTCTAATCAAAATTTACAGGTAAACAGTTCAATAACTTGAACTGTTCCCCACATTTATATATTCCTACGTATTGTAAATCTGCAGATGGCAAATGATTATTCTGCTTTCATTTGATGTCAATTTATTCATGTTTAGACTGATACATTCCTTCCATGGGTTCTTGCGTTTTAAAACATGCCATGCATCACTGCATTTCAGCTGAATGATTTTTCACCCAATACCATCTTGAAGGCGATTCAGAATTTTGCTGGGATAGTGTTCACTTAAATGTTAGAACATATAATCTTCTATATATATGCAAAGTCTGCACATACTTGAAGTTCTCACACCATTGCAAAATAATTGGCCTTCTTCTGCAAAATTTCTTTTTAGAGTAATAGTTGCTGTTTTCTTTTGCAGTCGGAAATTTTGGAAATTTTGGAGGAAGTTTCATAATTATAATACCTCATGAATTGAGAGTAGATTCCACAGATAGTCTCCATACCTACCCTTTTCAAGTAATGTTTCTTTTACTACTTGCCCAGAATGAATTCATTAGTGCTGAGAAAAAAATCCCTTATATTTCTCACTATCACAATACAACATAAAGATTATTTTCAATTAAAAGTATATTTTAATAAGCATAGTTAACAATTTTTTGATTACTATTGGTGAACAGTGTTGCTACTTGGCTTGGTTTGGCTTGGCTGAGGTCAATGCACTGTCATTCTAAACTGGTTTCTGGAAATATGTTTGCTCATTGTCTTCTCTCCATTAAACTCCTTTCTCCCATTCTCATCTTCCACCTCTGACACAATTTGTAGGAGAAGATCTAGAGGAATTATCCTATGAAATTATTATTTAGCTGCATGTAGCATCTTGGCTGTCGGACCATATGGCAAAATGTCGATGAATCGTCCCTTAAATAGTTTTCCTTTTCTTTATAGAATTCTCAACATTATTGGATGCTTATCCTGTATCTGGATTGAAGCTTTTAGCAATGCATAAACTTTGCTACTGTTATGGTGGTGATATAGTAGTTAGAACAGTACTGCAGGCTATTTCTGCTAACTGCCGGCTGCCTGCAATTTGGCAGTTGAAATCTCACAAGGCTCAACATTGACTCAGCTTTCCATCCTTCCGAGGTGGGTAAAATGAGGACCCAGATTGTTGGGGGCAATATGCTGACTCTGTAAACCGCTTAGAAAGGGGTTTTAAAGC